TAACTGACCTTTCACTTTCAAGACTTTCTTCTAGAAACGGTGTGTTTGTGTTCTGGGTTGAAGATTTAAGGAGAAAAGATGAGGAGTGACCAAGACAGAGAAAATGGTGAAAAGATAAATAACAGGGCCAGGCTGAAGAGAACTCGTGCAACTGAGGTACAAACTGAGATCTAAAAGATGATGACTCTGTTAGTTCTCCAGAAAGCAGACTCCAAGATAGAGCTTAGTACTAAGGATGCTTATTTAGAAGTACCTCAAGGATCAACACCTTTGCAAGGGACAGGAAAGGAAAGGGGACAGGAGTGGGCAGAAGGAGACGTGGAGTGGCCAGACAGGACCTAGGACAGCCTCAGCACACTCCACAGCAGCTCTGAAGCCCAAGTGGCCCTTCCCAGCTGTCCCTAATTGGGCCGAAATGGCTAGACTTTTCACCTCCCTCTCCTCCCAACCAATCAGGTCACGGAGTATGGGCAGCCCCACCAAGCTTGGGGCCTTTAGGGTGTCTGCCCCTGAGGTGACTTGGGAAGGGGCTGACACATGAAGGCTGCCTGCCCACCATGCTCCCAGCAGCAGTGGTACTAAGTCCTCCAGAAAAGTGGTATTTTGGTGAGCATCACAGATTCCAACTCCTTATTTTAAAGAAGTGGTAACTCAGGGGCAGAGAGTAGCAAATCTCAATGCGAAACCCAGAATTTATCACTTCCGTGTTTCTTATACTTCTAACGAAACAAACAAACAAACAAACAAATGTGATGATGCTTATTTTGGAAAGAATGAGCAAGGAAATATTTACTTGATTTAAGACATGTTCTTGAATGGGCTTAACTAAGCAAACAGAAAGAATCCAAGCAACTCTAGCCAGGATTTTATAGAGAGGACTTAGTCATCAAATTTATCACTAAATTATGGATAGAGCATTGTATGTCAAATTTTTATACATCAAAGATTTGGGGGGTATGGTTTTTTGTATACTCTACAAGACATTCTGTTCAGTTCCCTACATACACATTATTACCATATACTACCATAGTAGTATACTATGTAATAGTATATACATAGTAATATACTATATTACTAATGTAATATATTACAATATACATAGTAATATACTATAGTATAGTATACATAGTAATATACTATAGTATAGTAATATACTATAGTATACTATAATATGGTAATCCCTTTCTAGGTCCTCACTGGGTCTCAACAAGACAAACATATTAATAATCAGGGCTGGCACTGAGTAGATGAGTGCACTTCATGTAGCAAGTTGACTGATTTCCCTTCTTCACTTTCTAATTTTACTTGAAGGTGGTTAGACACCATATAATACTGTCCCATTTAAAATGCTGTGGATAGTAATGGGATGTAAGTTATTTGCCCACATGCATGAAAATTACATCTTTCTATCATGCTTCCCCTCCCAGACCACATTTCAGGCACACAGACCTTTCTGTTTCGTGCATGTTGCGTGCTCCATTCCATAACTGTTTCCTCTGCCCTCCACATGGCTCACTCCTTTTCCTCTCCCTGGTGTTGATACTAAGGTCATCTTCTCGGAGGTCCACATCATCTAAAGTAATCCTTTCCTGACTGAGCCAAATTTCTTTTATATAAACTTCTTTTATTATCTTGATAACACAATTACCTCAGATCGTCTTGCTTATATATTTATCTGTTGTTCACCACTGTATTCTTAGCACATGGATTAGTGCCTGGCATCTCAGTATCCAGTAATTATTCAACTGAAAGAATGAGTGCAGGCAATAAATGAATATTTATGGTTTATATGATTTTTAAATACATAGCAGGAATACAATACTTGCAAAATTACTCATCTGGGGGAAAATCTATTCGTTATTCAGTTTTGAACAATTCTGAATAAAAGAAGGGACTTCTATTCTGTATCCTAATACAGTGATTTTTATTAAACAAGCTCTAAGATGTCTATATATCTCATAATGATGCACAAAACAAATATGTCTGTTTCCACAAATAATGTATTTTTTGAGGTAACAAAAATATAGTTGACTGTATAACAAAAAATTCTGTCTTCTGACTTGTTTAAAACATCGTAAGAAAAAAAGTGTTGAAAACTCTTAAGAGTAACCTCCCAACTTCACATTAAAAACAGGGCTATGATAAAGAAAGTCTGTATAAGAGAGACAAACAAAAACAAGTCATAAATTAAGTCACTAGACTTATAATAATATTTTTGCAAGAAGCATTTATAATTTTTGGCTAGCTTTTAAGCTAGCAATATAAGATATCCCAGGAGATTCATTGAGCTCAGGAATTCAACTTCTGACAGGGCCAAATGGAATGTCCTTTGTGATCTTGGCTGAACATTTGTCCTCAGATTCAAATATGGATCATTCAATTTATCTAAGTCTATGCTTTCAGTGACACGATCCTTTATTTTTAATTAGGCAAGGTATTAAATTCTTATTTTGAATTGTACCTATTCCAAATTTTAGTTCTATACATGTTGTCTTGTCTATACCAGGGGAAATATATTTACCTAAAACTCTTACTAGTGAGTTCTATCAACTCTGTAGTTATTCTAGAAATTGGGTTCTTGGTGGAAAATATCCTGTTTACTCTACCACACCATCTGGTTTTATAAGACTTTAATTCCATCTTCTTTTAGACATCATCTTTTGAGATCAACAAAGAATTATTAGGTATAGGAAAGCCTGGTCTATAAAAGTAGATTTTCTTACAGAGGCCAGAGACACTAATAACCGGGATTGATGTCAGGATCATAAATGCACAAGCAGCCAAGACCTCTCTCCTAGTATCTGAAGAAGAACTGATGTAATAAAAGAAAGACATCTCCTCTATCATAAGTATACTGGAAATGAGCATAGATAAATCCTACAATTACTTTTTAAGTGCACCTGGCAGGCCACATTTTAAAGAGTAACCCATCACTAACTGAAATTATTATTAGTTTCTCCAAATTATCAGGTAGTTATCCTAGTCTATTGTGACATTAAAGAACACCTCGAAAAATAAAAATGGAGCTTTGACTGCAGGCAAGTTCCTTGAGTAACCATTTTAACACAGAAAATAATCCTATGATGTATCACAGTCAAACTGATCTTACATGTTACTCACATAGGATGTGATGTTAAATAAAGTAGCCATTCAGAGAAAGAAATCAAACATGATCCTTTGTCATGTTTTACACTCACATTTTAGTAACCTCACAAAACTAAGAATGTTTTCCAAATGCAATATGAAGAGAACTGTTTATTTTACCCAAGTGAAACTGTGAGAAGTCCTGAATAGCACTGTTACTAGCCTCAAGGAAACAGAACAAGTACAAAGCTAAGTTAAAGTCAACTTTATTACTTTTCCAAACTTCAAAATCCATTTATTCATGAATTTATACCTAATATATAATACATTATATTACAAGGCAGAAAGCATTTCTGGTCATATATTTATCTAGCTTCCATGTATTGCCCAAAACATAGCTCTGTAGGAATAGCAGCAATGCACAGCAGTTTATATCACTAAGTAAAATATTTCTCTAATGTCTCAGAATCGTATATATCACAACTTACTTTATGTTCTTTTTCTTTGGCTTAAAAAAAAGGCTATGTTTTCTATATCTTATTAGTTAATGCCTAGAAACTGTCTTTATCCTAAAAACATCCACCAGCTTAGAAATATTTCCTTTGGTAGCAAATAGGGTCTTTGAATCTAACCAAACCAAAAGAATACTGTATTTCCCCATTGCAAATAGGGGTAAAATGCTCTTTTTTCCTTTTTCAGGAGCCAAATCTGGGCTTCCTGCTCTTCATATAGCCATCCTGAATAGTACTTGCTTTAAAAGGTACCTAAATCTACAATGAACTCTTTAACATAAGTCTTCTCTGTGTAAGCCTGTGCTTACTTAGAATAATTGCAATTGACTTTGAATATTACATAATAATGAACTTAAAAGCAATCTTAGGAAATGTAATAACATAAAGGAAGTATTTTCCAAATTGGACAAGGACATTATCTTCTCATCCGCCTCTGTTTCAACCCAACTGACCACATTCAACTTACAAAAAATAATTCCTTTTCCAAGGTTACTACCCTAATGACAATGGAAACAGATGAAAATCCACTGAAGACTTCTAGTCCCTCAATTTTCTTTTTTTGGTTTCACATTTGTGAGCTACCAACTAGCACAAAACACGTTCATCTTCCTTGTTCTCACAACAATAGGAAATTCTTAGAAAAGTATAGAAAAGGATCTATTTTTCCTGAGGCAAATTTAATACAGATTTTGCAATAAAGTTGAAAAAAAGAAAAGAAAAAGTGAATGAAAAGGTGTGTGCAGGCTGCCTGGGGGCAAGGCTCATAAATCACTGCACGTTAAGAGCACGTGCTGAAACTTCATGGTGCCAGTCACGTAATTTTGTGTATTTGGGACTAAAGACGTGAAGGGGTATCTTTTCCCTGTGGAAATAAAAAAAAAAGAGTGATAGAAGAGTCATAAGAAAGAGAAAGAGAAAGACTCTACACTAATTCCATCATGCAGAAAGCATGCCTTATAAAAGCTTAATTTCACATAGCTATCTTATTGAATAGCAAAGATTTTAAGGGTAGAGCATTTTTAGAAATACAGAAATTAATCTATACAGCCCCCTTAGAAACATTGATTTTTATGCCCAAAATAAAGTGACTGCAAGACAACACATGAACTCATTCACAGAGATATTTACTGTTAGCAAAGCACCCCCAAATATACCCCTCTGGCGATTTCTTCATTCAATACTTAGGAAGAGAAGCCTTAGACATAAAATCCAGACAACATCCCCACTAATTTAAAAATCTGTGAGTTGTACATCTAGGTCACACAAAAGGCACCAATGTTAAATGTTTAGCTTCTAGTTGCAAAGACAAAAATGGCATACCATTACACTGGAAAACTTGAAAAACCAAATTGAGGCCATTCATGAAAGGAAAGCATTCAATTTACAAAAAGATGGAGAACTTACTTTGCCTTCTTTGCACTTTCGGATTCAGATTCTTTCACTGAAATACAATAAGCAATATCCAAAATCAGTTTGCTTTCAACTTCAAAATCGCTTAAGCAATCAATATCAAATCCTCAAGTTCCATAGAGTCACTAGAACAAATCCCACACCATGTTGTTATCTACTATATACTACAGTCGGTGCTACTACTAGTAGTACTTCTACACTTTTCAATGATACTCCCCAGGGCTGGTGTCTTATTTACAGAACCCATATTATGCACAGCATAATTTAAAAGCAAAGTCTCTCAGGGTCGTTTTTAGTGACTGCCAATCTGTCTAAATGCAACTCTTTGTGGCAAAGAACATTCATCCATTAGGATACCCAGAAGTTCACTTACGATGTTCAGTCCCAGTGATCTGGGCAAGGATGCGGAAAGAGCGAGACTGAGTTGTCCCAGTGCGGGGGCGCCAGTCTTCGGTGTCCTCCATCAGTCTCTTCTTGCTCGCGTCACTGTGAGTGGGGATGTGATAAAACTCTGTATTGCGCTCCACGATGTGCTTTCTTGGTGGGCTAGGGTTAAGAAAGAAAAAAACAAAAAAAATTAAAAATTATAAAATTATATTAAGGGGATAAAATATCCTCTACAGAATTATTTATAATGTATACACTAAATCCTCAATGTTTCTTGTATAGAGTTTGCTTTTGCAAGTATACTCAGCCTCAATTTTTTTAGAGGCATCTTTCTAAAATAGACTAGGGTGTTTTTATTAGTAAAAATAAAAGTGTACTTGTTAATATAAATAATACTGTAAGAATGTATTCAACAGAAAGATTACCGTTTAGGTGGGATTTTCCTTTTAATTGACAGAGGAAAGCAGCAGAAGACAGATTTCCAACATGAAGAAAAAGGAAAGAAAAAAGATAAGGAAAAAAGAAAATAACTAGAAAATGAAAAGTCCACAGTAGTCAAAATCAAATTATTTGAAACTACTTGTATCATTCATTGTATGGCACAAAGATATAGACTATATTAATGACCACATTTAATATCAATACGCCACTCGACTTTATTAGCTTCCCCAAAATTAAATGATCACATCTTCACTCAGCCCAGGAACCAAAAATGATTTGGTAGAAGCTAAACCAGCACTACCAAAGACAATTTTAAAAAGGGTCCAATCTGTTATTTTCTATAGTTTTCTCATGCATATGTACAGATATCCCTTATCCTAAATAAAGTTGTTATACAGGGTCAGCACAGTAAACAGCTGTGGTATAATAGAAAATGCTATAATATTAATATACATAAAAAGACAAGGATTTAAATCTTGGCTGTATGACTTTTCAGATGTGTGATTTTTGATAAGTCAATCTAAGCCTCAGTTTTTTTCATTTACAAGGAAAGAAAATCACATACAAAGTAGCACTATTCTAAGGATTCAATGAAATAATACATGTGAAAGAAATTTATGAACTACAGAGTTCAAGAACTTTGAGTTTGGTAAGAACATTCATTTTTCTATTAACAAAGCATAAACAGTAAGGAATCTACAATGTAAATTACTTTAATACTTTAAGATCTATTGACAATTAATAAATACTCCCCACTTCTCCCCCCTCAAAATAGGACAAACACAAACTTCTGGGCCATTGGTTTAATTTCAGAAAAGAAAAAGGAACGTGAGTCTACACTAGCAGACTACTGACACAAGATCTGAGTAAACAAAGTGCTCTAAATGTGGTCAAATGTGGGTGGCAACACATGCTAGGTTTAACTCACTGCTAGAAAATCATAGTGCTATCAGCATGCCACATGACTGTTGTCACTTTAACAGCCACACTATCAAAACTGTCTCAGTACACTGGAAGAATTTCCCCAGCAAAGAACATGATAGAATCAAAGTTAACAACACTGGCTTTAAAGTCAGGCTCAGTCTGTGTTTCATCAGAGTCACTTAACTTCTCAAAGTCTCAATTTTCCCACTTGAGAAACAGAATTACAAAATAAAGAATTGTTTTGAGGAATAAATAAGATAGATAACACATGTAAAGTGCTTTCCACATAACCTAATACACAGTAATGATCATGATAATGTATTCTTTTATGATTACTAGAGAACCAATTGCAATGCATATTCTAAGACTATTTTGTGCATAATATTTATGCAAAATAGTAAGATATATTATGATTAATGGTAATATTTTATGATTCCACACATAAAATGTCTGAAAGAACTTCCACTAATACTGAACAAAATCTAGTCCTTTTTAAAATGGACAAAATTTATAAAAATTGATAAATAAGCATAGATTACTTTATAAACAGATTGTCTTTTGCAGATATAAAACTGACAACTCTTTATCTTATGCAGTACTTGAAAAATTTTATATTCAGCCACTAAACTTATTATGGTTTTAAATTTCTCTATAATTGCCTAGAGCAGTTTACTCTTAAATGGTGCCAATTTCAAGTATAAGACTATTTTATCCTTTATAAAAGGTGTGGTCTATAAAAACAAAACCATGATGTCAAGCTAAGACATTAAGAATAAAAAATGACACTGCTTAAGTAGCATTTTTAGCCATGACATGCTTGCAAAAAGCACAGTACACCTTAGACTCTTTATGTCATTTACCACACAGCTTAAGGTCTTGTGTTAAGTAATAAATTTCTAAATATTTACTCAGTGCTTTCTCCCTGGCTCTGAAACTCCAGGCTCTGATGACTATGATTTAAAAAGAGGATAATTTCGATGATTTTCTGTTTACAAACATATTTGGGATAGAATGTAAACTTAACTCTCAAGAGCAAGTAATTTACTTCAAAATATAGACATTACATTTTTTAAAAAATACTAAAGAATCGAGGGGGAAGGAGGGCATGGGCATTTTTTTTACCTTTATTTTTTTTCCCCCCTTATTTTGTTGAATTAAAAAAAAATACTAAAGAAGGAAGGCCCAAACTACATCTCTAACTCTAGCATGCACCATCCATAAAACTCATCTATCCTTCTTGAAGGTTAACTTACTAAGTTTTTCTATTGCACAAGGATCAGCATTCTGAACTTTGATTTATATGAAGTTCTCTAGCATGACAAACATGTTTTATACTCCTTAACATTTTTGAGAATTCTTTTAATGAGAAGATATTGACAAAATTTGCTGGTGGTATTAATTACAAAGCAAGATGAAAAGTTAGAGAGATGGTGAAAAGTACAAAATGAAACATTGGTTAAGTATTTAATACTTACACGGTGCCAGGGTTACTGAGGAGGAATGAAATACACAAAAAAGATGTGACAAAGTAGAGAAGACATTGATGTTCCCAAGATGATGAAAATCAGACAAAGATGAGGCCAAAAAAGAAAAGAAAGGAAAAGATAAAATGAAATAACGAGATTCAAAACAATGAAATCAAGTAAAGATGTGCAAACATCATGCTTCCAAATAAATGTGTAAACACAGACAGACAAAACTGAACATGTGTTAGTCAAAATTCTGCTACACTGTTATTAATATAATCAAGGATGTCAGTTCTATTTGTTTATCCCCCCCAAACACTGAAAACTATTTTGTGTATATAATGCTAGTTTAAGTCACAAGTTACTGAATGCCAAAATAGAAAGATCCACTATTTTTTAAAAATGTCCAGGTTTTTATAAAATACATTTTAACATGAATGCAAATTCTTATTATGGTCCTCACAAAAATTAGAGTGTAACTAGACATAAAATGTAGAAATATCATTTTAGAATCACTTTTAAAATGAGAAGAGGATAAAAGAGAAACTTTCAGTGCCACATAATAGAGGTATATATTAATAGCAATTTAATCTCATATAAATTATTCTAAATCTATTTTGATATTTTTATTCTTTCTTAAAATGCAGTGATTATGATGAAAATGTAGAAAGCACAATGGATCATAAATAATGGGCTATCACTCAATTTCCGTTCTCTCCCCTATCCCTGATTACTGCCACCCTCATCCACAAGCAAGTCCTGGTAACTTTAGTGATCTCTGGGAACTCCATAGTTCTGTAATATCAGTGACATAATTATTGCCTAGAAAGGCATATCTTATATGACACAGTAAAGGAACTAGGTTAAAAACACCTGAAAAGGGAGAATCTCAAAGCAATTCATTCACATAGTGTAGAATAATTAGAAATAAATAAAGTGTAGAATAATTAGAAACACATTCATATTCCATTATGGATAGAGAAGACTAAACTATAAACTATACAGTTTGTCAGAGAACACAATGTAGTGTTCTTCAATTCTGCAACAACATTCAGCCAGAGAGAGTAATAATTCATTATAAACATAGTAAAAAAAAAAAAACTGCCTACCAGTTTTAATGCTAAGATTGGTCCGTGTGGGTACATTTCCACATGTCAAAGTCAGTTTCATAAACTCAACAGAGGGTTAGGTTTCACCGAGTGAGGGTAGGATGCAGGCATAAGTTGATCTCAATAGCCTGCCTGTATTGACTCTTCTCTAGCCATAATGTGAAGCATTCTCTCCTCTGCCTTGCTGTACTAAGCAGCAGAGAAACAGTTTTGCAAAATAAACTCCTGAACAGAGTAGAATTTTGAATGTATATTTAAACGTTTTAAAGTTTAGGAAAAATGTTTTATGTCAACATGAAGTTGGGGGGTGGAAAATGTTCTATGATTTGGTGATGGGCAGCAAGTGGAGAGTTGACTGATTTCAACCTAAAGATGTCAATGTGAATATGTCAAACAAATACTTTCATGTTTCAGATGTCCTGGCTTCTCATCTTTGCTATGTTGCTGACTTCTGCTGAGCCCTGGACAAACTGTAATCTACCAGAGCCTCATTTTCCTCAAAAATGAAATGAACTACAATTTCTCTGTCATACAGATTTCTCATAAGGTCTTAAGTTTAACATATTTGAAGGCACTTTGAAAATTGCACAAACACAGGTTTATTGTTGAGATAGATGTCCCAACCACTCAAAAACAGTAGTCTCAAATCCAACTGTAGCATATGCACATCAATTCACTGGTATGGCCTCAATTCAACTCTATAATCATCAAGAAAAAACACGAATTCAAAATCACAGAAATAAACTCAAGTCACAACAAGCATGTGATACAGAGGAAAGCACATCAAAATCTGACTTCCAAAGACTGAGGCTCAAATCTTAGCTCTATTACTTACAAGATGCATGACTTGAGAAAATTATGTAATCTTTCAGCGTTCAAAATGTAAATAAGAATTAAATTACATAAAGCATCTAGAAACACCTAGAACAATGCCCAGTACAATCTAATAGATTAATGAATCTCAATCTTGAATTTTTTTAAGTTATATTAATATTTAACCTAAATGTTTAGATTTATTTCTCCAAATTCCATTTTTCCCCTTTATAAGTCAAATTGCTTCTTGTACTGGAATTAAGTAATTAGTCAAAGTCGCTCTATATAAGAATTTAATCATAAATAGACAAATAATAATCAGGATTTGGGGATGTTTTAGTAATATATTGGTATGCAATATTCCTGAACTATTCAATCAGTAAGATGTCTACACAGCCACACTGGAATGACATTGCTCTAATAATGTGATAGCTAATTCTCTTTGGTATGTCCCTAGATTGATATTCAGTATTTCCGATTCTAATCTACAGTGTGATGCAAAACAAACTTTAGCACATGTTCAGAATAATCATAAGTTGGTTAATATAAAATAACTTTAAGTTGTTATCTAATATGATTTTTACCTATTTTTAAAGCTAGTAATCACCAGCTTAGTGTCAGCACCAATGGAACTCAAAAGCAAGGTTTGAAAGTTATACCACTGTAATTCCCAATGTCTATACCAACCAACTGTGACATTTAATAAGTTGATAATTATCTCTCTTAACTAATTTCAAAGGTATATAGATCTAAACTAATTTCAAAGGTATGTAGATTTAAAGGTATATTAATTTAAAAAATTAAAGGTATATAATTCAAACACTGTTTGAATTAAAACTCTGTAGAGAAGTCATAAAGGTTCTTAGAGTCTTTACCTAGGAAACACTGACTTTTGATATGAATTTGGACATTGACTCAGTTTTACATATGCTATTCACTAGTGGTGCAAATGCTTTCTCTTCTATCTTTACCTTTGTCTTCTTACAGTCTCAATTGATATAAGTTACATTCCTCCAAGCACTACTTCTTTTAAACCATTACACAGCAAGCCCCACATATATTTTACGACGTAAGTTAAACACTACTATTCATTACTATAAAGCAATTCACTACAACATAGCGATGCAAACCAAACTTACTAAAAACACTAAATGTGGTTATTCTAAATTATAGCTCTTTTGCAAAATGTAACTTTATTTTGCAAAATAATCGGGCATTCATGCTGATTACTCATATATAAATCACCATATTTCCTCTCCAGTAATGTGGATACTAACTTTGTCACCTGTGTTTTCTGCAAAGAGAAAAGCATTTAAAAATATTACTACCATATTCTTATTTTTCTGTCTTTCAAGTCCAAGTTCCTCAAAATACCACACAGGAACTGTTAGAAGAAACCGCAGTCCAACAAAATTGAAATTAATATAGGATACTAAAAGACTTACCTCTTGAAAGCAGTGGCACATTATAATGCAAGGATATATGGAAAGGGAAAATGTAAATCAATAAAACTCCTTGGCGCAAAACAGCTTTCCTTACAGTTTGGAATATAAAGTCACACTTTGCTCTTACAGTAAGCAGAGAAGTAATGAAAACAGCCAGCCATGAACAATAATTTGTATGTGTAAATGGAAGATTTAAAATTTTTTTCTTTTTCTTTCTTTTTTTTTTTTTTGAGACAGAGTCTCGCTTTGTTGTCCAGGCTAGAGTGAGTGCCATGGCGTCAGCCTAGCTCACAGCAACCTCAAACTCCTGGGCTCCAGTGATCCTTCTGCCTCAGCCTCCCGAGTAGCTGGGACTACAGGCATGCACCACTATGCCCGGCTAATTTTTATATATATCAGTTGGCCAATTAATTTCTTTCTATTTATAGTAGAGACGGGGTCTCGCTCTTGCTCAGGCTGGTTTCGAACTCCTGACCTTGAGCAATCCGCCCGCCTCGGCCTCCCAAGAGCTAGGATTACAGGCGTGAGCCACAGCGCCCGGCCTCTTTTTTTTTATTTTTTTGAGATAGGGTCTCACTCTCTATTGCTCAGACTAGAGGACAGTGGCATCATCATAGCTCGCAGCAACCTCAAACTCCTGGGCTCAAGTGATCCTCCTGCCTCAGCCTCCCTACGTGCTAGAATTACAGGCATGAGCCACTGCATCCAGTCGTAAAATTTCTTAATGTGCCTTAATCATTATTTATAAGAAGGAACAGGAATACTTCCATAGTATTATTGAGAAATAGTCTAAAAATATCAATATAATCTACAGATTTCATACTATTAGGATGAATAGCTAATTATTTCTTAGTAATTAGTTAATTTATAAGGACTTTTTTAAATCTTGTGTTTATTAAGCCTATACAAATTTGGGTAGGATGTCTATCAACTTGGCAGATTAGCTAGCTACTTAAATCACTTAAAAACTAGTAGTCTTCCTGGTGCTTTGAAGAAAAAAACAACTTAAGCATTTAACTTTACATCCTACTGAACTTTCAAAATGTTGGTCACTGGTATATATTATTTTAAAAAGTAATTAATAAAAAGTAACAACTCAACTTCAAAAGTTTTACTGCAGACATTTTGCAACATTATAAAAATCTGAGAAATAAATAGTAAAAAGTTTGACTTAGATTTCAGAAAAACAGTTTGACATTTGATGCAGAAAATGCATTCATCAATATCACAAAACACCTACTCTTCAAAATGACGTATCAATGACACTAGTAAAGTATGTGATTTATTTTTGGTTTCTCTACTTAAATGTAGTGAGAAAAAAGACACTGCAAATTTGTCTTAGAATTTCATAGATACCATACTTTATTTTCAGAGCAATCAAGTTTTCCTTGTCCTAGCACCTAGATAACATTTGAAATCAAGTTATTTTTAATTGTATCCAGTTTGCAGTTGTAAAGCAGTAACCTGCTTGTTAATGATGCAAAATATATAATAATCCCTTTTCTCCTGGATTTTGCTGCATGGGACAGCAGGCATGTGTTTAATAAACACTTGTCGACTGATTGAGAAGCCACCATAAAGGCCCTGTAACTATACCACTGCCTAGTTTCAGTTTGAAAATAATAAGCTTCAAATCATTTCAAGTTTTATCACCAATGTTGTGCTTATAAGACACAAAATTTAAGCGTGGTGTTTTCAGATGTCTTAAATGCAGTACTTTTCCATAGTCTCAAATTGCTTTTACCTCTACAATTTTTCATTAAGACTTTCTTGTAAATTTTTAAGACATGTTAGGAGCAAAGATTTTAGTTGAGATGCTTCCTTCAATGGCTGTTTTTCTACTGACCTTGCAATTTAATAAACGTAGTAAACTTCTGTTTTAGTGTTTGTGTCGCTAGCATTTGACAGGCAGCGTCTTTCTTTCCCGGGTATCTACTTTGATTACTCTAAAAATCTATTGTCTTAAAATAGACGTACAAAAAAAAAGTTACAAGCAAACACACCTCAACACTCCATACTGTTTCTCTTCCTCACATGAAAGAAAAAATAACATTATTTGAAGGACGCTAGTTTTCCTCAATATATACATCAAAACTTTAAAAAGCCACCCACAACCACGAGGCCATCTGTACAACTCAGTAGCTGCTCTTCACAGCTCCTGCTCTTGCTCCCAGCAGCACCCTGGAACCCTGCCACTTTTTCTTTCAAAGCCCCAGAGTTGCCATGGCAGCAGTGCTACCGAAAGCACAGTCTCTTCACTACATGAATTAACATTCGGAAGGGATTATCTCATAGAAAGGACCTATCCACGCAATTATTTTAATTATATTTTCCTGGGAACTGGCATTGGTAAAAAACCATCAGGCATGCAAACCATTTCTCCGTGTTTTCCTTTTAAAGTACATTTTTTGTCACAAAACATCTGATCAAAATGATTTTACGTAAATGATTTGCTTTTAAGTATTATCACTGAATTCCAAAAGGAGTAAAATGACCTTCTATAAAGGAAGGTTACTGAAAAATTGATGTGTATGTAATCTTATAACTATGTGTGGTTCAAGTAAGTTAATAACTTCAGCCAATTTTTTAAAAAATATACCTCAAAAGGGAAAACTTATTAGGAATAGAGTTCCGAAAACTTGTTAACATTATGTATTTAATGTCCACTGGTTTAAACTCCCTCATTTTAGAAAAATCTTTAAAATGAAAATATTCTCTAAATTACTTCTGATGCTTTCCTAAGCATTCCTTATTATTTCATTACTGTTTACTTTTAAACAATAAATTCTAACTTAAGCTTACCTGAAAAGTATGTCGTTAGCTATCTCCTCTAAGCTAATGCTTCATACATGCCCATGAGTCAAAAATGGACTGGTTTTCTGTTTTCTTAAGACTACTTCCCAGGAAAAAGCCTCTTACTCACTCCTCATTTCCTCTCCCTTTAGGGGGAGACACATAATGTGACAACAACTGTAATCACTCTGTTTAAACTTCTGGTGGCCAATAAAAGAATGCAAACATGGAAACACAGAGCAAGAAAGACTCAAGATTTGCCTTGCATTGTAAGTGCCAGCTGCTCGATGTTGTGCCAGGACTGGGAGAAAACGAGTTACAGAGTATGTTACATGGTTCATAACACGTCCAAATACACAATTAGGTTTTGATTAACCTATAATTGCTTTGCAGAAAGTGCCATATGTACATAATATAAAGGCCACATGCTAATGAAGCAAATAAAATTTCATCTCCCTTCCTTCAAAGAGCAGCTGATGGAGTTGAGGAGGGGGAGAGAGGGTGTAGATTAAGTGTTTCCTGGAAGTCACCTGAAAGAAGAGTTTTGATAAGAGCAGAAAGCACCCTTAGCCACCTACCCATTTTGCTGTTTACTGTCACCCTGGGATCCTCTTCTCTGTCCCTCTGCTAGCTCCTGAGCAGTCTCGGAACACACGCTGGTGACTGTGGGCTGCCGTGGGACATTAACTGCAGTTTTACCAGCGCTCAGCGTGGATGAACACTGGTCAGCACTAACAGTGGCATTAGCATGCAGTCCAGGTGCAGCGAATGGGGGAGGAGTGACGGCAGCCACGGGTGGAAGGGAAGCATGTGATGAAGTGGTCGCATGGGCTGGGGTGAAGGCGGACGATGGTGATGGGATGGATGTGACTTTTGGTGAAGACACAGAACCAAAAGGCCGTGGTGCCTTATTGTAGGCCATGTTGGTTGTGGAAGTGACTTTGGACACAGCAGGAGATGTAATGGGCACAGGTTTAACTACTTCTTTGGGTTCTCCCTATGTAAAATAAAAATAAACATACACAAAAACACACCAAACACATGCAAAATATATTTCACTGAAAAGAGCACACAGCTGATTTGTAAAAAGACAAACACAGTCATGTTAGCAACTCAAACATCACATTTCCAGATAAAAACAATGAGTTGATACAGCATAACATGCATACTAACTAATCCCAACATGCACAACACAGATGCACACACTAAGTCTAAATTTTTTTTATATATAAAAATGAAAGCAGTTTTGAAATATTTAGGAAATAGAGTAGGAAAACTATCAGAAAGCCTAAAGGTCATTGTGTCAAATTAACATATTCTAAAAGAAAACCTTTAAAATACTCCACAATAAACAAAACACTGCTAAGTGAAATGATTTTATTTTAAAATATCTAGAGCCTCAATTATAATTCCATCTTTCAAAGATGTTTAATTTCTCCCCAGAGTGGAATTTTTTATTCATGCGGCAGCACATTTCTAACTCTTTAAACAAATGGAGAATAAGATAATTTTCATCTAACTCAGAAATGTGCACATTCTAATTAATTAACTTGAATAAAGAATTTGGAAAAAAAAACTTAAAAAGGCAACCAAATGAACAAAACAAAAATCAGTCCTTTCTCTTTCCTGTAATCCATCTCTGTTTCTTTCCCCAAATGTTTTAAGATATGATTCAGAGACAGAATAAAATTCTTTTCCTTTTCCAAAATAAATATTTAATAGTTACATAAGGGGAAAAAATGATCTTTGATATATTTTCCTTGCAAGTAGGCAAAGAAAAATAACTAGTAATAAAGGTCAATTTCTCCTAAAATTATCAGAATCTGTGTTTGTAAATCCTTACTTCAAAGCATAAAGTTTTTTAAAAATCAGATTAAGCTTCTATGACATTCAAAAATAAATCTCTACTCACCACACTATCATCCAAAAGAAAAACAATCATATTTAAAAAAATACTATGGTGGCTCTATTATGTTTAATTTTGAGGAAAAAAGGTAATCTAAATTAATCTTATAAACAAAAGGAAACTGAGAAAAATAAGTAGCTTAATGCTTAAGCAAATCAGTACAGGCTGAGTATCCCTTACACAAATAAATAGCTTGAGACCAAGTGTTTCAGATTTCAAATGCTTTCAGATTTTGGAACATTTGCAGAATACATGAATACCCCTAAATCCAAAAATCTGAAATCTGAAAAGTTCCAATAAGTATTTCCTTTGAGCATCATGTTAGTGCTCAAAAAGTTTTTTATTTCAGAGCATTTCATATTTTGAAATTTCAAATTAAGGATGCTCAATTTGTATAACGAGTAGTTCAAATGAAGAGGCACAAATAAAATTAGGGAGAAAACCCCCAAAAGCATAAACCGGATATATATGAATAACGGTTTGAGACAATTTGAGGATATATAAGAGAGAAGGTTTGGTACTTGCCAATAACCTAATCTAAGAATACTCTGAAATGTAATTAAATAGTTATTATTAATTAAGTGTTATTAAAGACTTATTGTGATATTCATTTTTGTTAACTACTTATTTATTCTCTTCAAAAAATACATGATTAAAGATTGGTACATTAAAAGTGAATAGAAATATAAGAAACTGGGCATAAGTTATTGATAATGCATGGCTTTGGATATAATGTTTTATGACATAAGTGTAATTACAAATAATAATTTTGCATGTGCTAATTTCCATTTTTCTCCTCATTTTTAAGGAGAAAAACAATGAGGATAATTGTATTGAGACTATTAACTATATGTCAGTATGGCCTGAGACAGAAATGGAAATTACAATGGCTCAGAAATGGCACCATTGAATGTACGCCAGCGATGCTAGATTAGACACTCACCTTTTGAACAGAAATTGGCTCAGGCTTGGATATAGCAGATGCTCTGGGGGAAAAAAGAAAGAAAAAGAGAAAAAAAAAACATGAATTTTTACAAACTTGCAAACTTCTCATTAATGGAATTTTTTGCTATTAGGTACCTTAATATACTAAAGCTTCAGAATTCATAATTTCATAATTCATAGTTTTGACTATTCACAATCTTCTAATTAGTTCATATAAATCAAACCCTGCAAGATCCAATATTCTTATTACTAGGTATTCATTAGCGGTCTCTAGTTCTCTACCAACTTTACTGAAGAAAGACAAACGTCAAACCTGTCTGTGAATGCATCCACGTTTAATCTTTAAATTAAGGCTATTCCACACCTAAAAGGGTAAAAGTGTAATAAACATGACTTTCTGATCCTAGAGTGGTTCCTCGACCATCTAATCTGAATCTCTATCTCCAATAGCCTTTTTCTCCTAACATCCATTAATACATCCACAGGATATAAGGTCTCTCTGCAAAGATACTGAACATGTTTCTGGTTGAATTGGGCCACTGAATGAGTATTTATTTTGTATTTATATTCTTAAGTGCTTATGCAAGTTAATGTATTTGTTATGCTAAAAGTAAACTGTAAAGTCTTCCACTAGGCTATAATTTCAGTAAAGGCAATGGTCATATCCCATTTGTGTCTGTATGTCAGCACAGTGCCTAGCATGTAACAGGTTATCAGTAATGAATGTAGAAGAGAGAGAACAAGAAAAAGACAAAAATCCATGCATACAACATAATTATTTCCAAACTCAAATTAATTTTTATTTTTAATATATGCTCTTTTGCACTGTGTTATTACCATGACTTTGGTTAGCACGGGCTCCATAGTAATAATTTGTTTAGAGCGATTATCTCATAAAACCATGACAATAACCAAAGTAAAAACTATTATCCTCATTTTTCAGATAAAGAAGTTCAAAGGTAGAGTAAGTAAATTGCTTAGAATGGAGCTGAGACCCATGGTTCTTATATAGAACAATATACTGACTTGTAATCAAGAATAGTAACTAAATGATTGGGAAATACTCGAATGCTTTAAAGGTTATATTTATCCATTGTTAAGGTACATGCTATGCTATGTTCAATATGCCAGAAGCAATTTGACTCCTCTCATAGCCTATCAGCCTGAGGATAAGACATAAAGTATAGAAATTCGAGAAATTTAAGCATAGTAGATAAATACTAAGTGATATTAATAATAATTTTAAGCTACAAACTATGAGATTATTTTGCTTACAAAGACAACAGATCATAATTAGGAGACACCAGCATAGGATATTGGGTCTCTGAGAGCATAACCTATTATAATAATGAACTCTGATCAACATTTTTAGCAGCAACTAAATTTTCCAATAACAACTAATTTAGTTAGCCATAGCAGGCACTGGCTGAACACATGGCTACCCTAAGGAGAAGCCACAATGGATGCTAACATTTGGTTATTGCAATACAGATTGCACTCTGTACAGCTGCATAACTTTCCATGTGTACTCTCAAACAGATAATTTCTCTTTTAGCTTCTAGGGCTATTAGAACAGGCAAAGAAAAGTTCAAGTACAGAAGAGTGGAATCTTCCTTTCACTGAAATTTCACAATAAGATGTAATCACAAAGGATCAACTTATTAAATTCACCCAAGACATTACTGAAAGTTTGTCAAAATAGAGAGGGTGGTATTCTTTTTCACCTGGACGTTTCAAGTTGCATGAATCACTTCTAGCAACATAAAAACAGTTTTTAAAAAAAGACCATGATGTTTAATAGTCACTATTTCCAGTCTTAAAATGAAATGCATATATCCTATATCGATGGAAACAAACCCCTTAGTTTTTCACAAGTGTTAGCTCTCATTTAAAGAGTGTTAGCAACAATAACCAAAGCTTCCATAATGGTTAGTTTTCATTAACTGTGGAATCTAACTTCTTACTTTGTTGAGAAAATATAAAATAATAATAAGTCCTAACATACTTTCTTAATTGAAAGTTCTATAAAAATACTGCTTGAAATTTTGAATTCACAAAAAAAATTTCTAAATCTGAAATTTGAATGTCTGCTCGGCTTGCCTTCTGATAAAGTTTCACAAGTGCAATGACATAAACTAAGACAAGTAGTCAGGGAAAAGAGAGAGAACAATGCCCTCAAAAGCCTAAGATGAGTTTATTACCCATTAGAAACACAAACATCTTCTTATAGAGAAAAAAAATAGGCTGGCTTATAATTAAATGTCAAACAAAATAGCTGACATTAGATACAATAACAACAGTTCTCTTGGTTTAAATATTTAAATAACCACTAAATGAGTCACAGAATCATTGAAACTTAAAAAAGAATGTTCTTTAGAGGTACTTTACTGCATGCCAACCAGGGGACTTCTGTTTGAACATTCATAGAAGCTCATGATTTTAGCCACATAAATTTTGAATCCTTCTGTAAAAATGACCTTCCTTTTAGTTTGTTATTTTATTTTATTTTATTTTTTGGAGTAAACAGAAGTCAAGTTGTTCACAACAATTAAAATCATTCTTAGAAAGAATTCTGCATTACCATGATAAAATGCTTACTTTATGATTTGGAAACAAGATATGAAAGAGCATGTAGAGCATGAATGGTGCATGGAAAAAAAGAATGGAAACACTAATATTTTAGGAGAAGTACTCTAGGAATATTTGTTTTTTCTCTTTTGTATATTTTCCTATTTTTTACAATGTACATGTTCTACTTTTTATAATAAGGAAGACTTTTCTCAAAGCATGTTTCATGGAAAACTACTTTCTAAAAAACAAAACCAAAAAAAAGGTTTTGTTATCAAATATATCTGGGAAAGAAAGAGTTAAAGTTATAGGGCATCTCAGACACAGAACTTCTCAGAGCCTTTGAATGTCTAAAGAAGAAAATACTATGGCTGCCCATACTCATTTGAAGGACAATTCATTATTTAGGAAACATTTCTCAAGACTGGAGTTAGGAGGGGAAAAAACTCTGGGAAACGCTATTTTAAAGAAATGTCTAAAGAAAGAACAATATATTTGGCTATTTGGTGAGACAGCCTGGGGGAAAAAAGAAAGAACAAATCTTCATAAAGTGTGAAATGTTTACTTAAGTCTCCTCTAAGTGGCTAAAACTAAGGGAAAGAAATATTATAATACTTAACAATCCCCAAAACCTTTCATTATATTAATCATCTTTCTTATCAAATTTGTGATTTCTTGGACTTTAATAAGATATCAAAAGACTATATGCATATTTAATCAATGTTTATAGAAGAAAATCCTATTTCCTTCACCAAACTAGAATATATCTGTTTCCAATATTCCCTGGTAAGAAAATCCAAATATATGAATAAGAAAAAGCATTTCTCAAGATTAAAACTGTTATAATTGTCTTTCTTTAGACAAATATTGATCATCTTTCACTTTAGCAATGCCTATACTACATAGAAGCAAGTAATTTTAAAAGGTGTTTAAATGAATAAACAGCTTTAAAAACTAAGATATAATTAGAAAAAATTATCCCTACATTTTTCTCTTCAAATCCTGGCAAATACACAATGGGATAATATATCTCCCTTTGAACTACCGTGATCATCACAAGTCACTTTTGTGTAGTGTCCTGGCAATGGCTTGGTGCCATCGTCCCAACAATTTGTTTATTGTTCTCTCGCCTTAGTGTGAAGCCACTGTAAGCTGTGATGGTGAGGTACCAGTGCTTTAGACTGACTGTCCTCAGCCCATGGAATTCAAACAACAAAGCCATAAGCTGACTGATTTTTTATAAAAGTAGTATGCAAAATAAAGATTCCTGATACATTATAACCAGTTTCAGAACTTCTGGCTGAACAGTTGAAAGGAGTTTTAGGTTATAATGAGTTATATTAGAAACTAAAATTGTACTAAACTGGTTAGAATGATGTATAGGAAAAAATAATGCCATAAATAAACAATTGCTCTATCAAGAATCAGATAAAAAAGAATCAAGCAAAATTGCATCTTAAGGAGATCCAATGAATGGTATTATACTTGTTATACTTTTAACTAGTTAATGCATTTTCCTAATACTGCTTTATGAAAGAACATCTTTTAAATTAATAAAGTATTCAATGAATGTTCACATTAGTGTTTAAGCATGAGGAATTAGGCAACAACTAAGAACTAGACCAATAAAGATTATTCACATTACTCATTATGTCTTGGTAACTCCTTCAACCGTATCTAATATATTTAACTCATAAACAATCATACAGAAAAGAGGAGGGTTTTGGTTCATCTTCTATGAGATGAGCTCTTATCGAAGTTTCCCACAGCATGGCCATCTTTGGACCCACTGACCTTGGGACCCATAAACACTAGGATACATCATTAATCACTTTAATTGCAAAGTTGTCAATTTGCAATAACAAAGCAACTCCAGGGGGATAAAAAGTGAGCACTCAAGAGTGCAGAAGGATGTCTGTTTAAACAGTTTCTCCATACTTTATTGCACTTCCAGCCTACTGTCCTAAAAACTCAAACTTTAAACATTTAAATCACTATGGCAATGGCTTTTTCTAAATGATTTGAGAATATGTAAAGATTATATTTCCATTAAAAAAAGTACAAAATAGTTATATATCAGCATATTATAACAGCTTTGAGCTTATAAAAGACTGTACTAATCACGTACACATGCATTCATAAACATAGTCTCACTTTCTCTCCCTCTTTGCATCTTCTGTATTTTACTATGGGAACTAATAAAGGACATTTTTTTTCTACAGAGAGAAAAACACCCAAAGCTGGTTTTGAAGAGTGGGAGAAAGAAAGAAACAGGACAAACGCCAGGGCATTGCTCTTGTCCATCTGAGTATCTGTGGTTTCCTGTGCTCATGCTTGGCTTTAAATTGCGTGCAGCTCTGATATATCCACAACAGGCAGCTACCACTTGATAATTCTTCTCTAAGGAAGGGTGAGTGCTTTTATTGTAATGATCTTTTTCTGGGGGCCAAAGAAGTTGATTAGGATTTGAGAA